AGACTTAGCACGCAGGCAAACGGTGACATAAATCTTAACTAAGTGAGCATATGAAATAAGCTGTTTACAAAAGAATACGTTTACAGAATAATACGAGGTAAGTTCATGAGGTCAAAAGGTTTATTTTACGGAAATGATACAAACACGAAAATGTTATCTTAATAACTACAAGTGGCTTAAGCGACGTGTGCAAGTGTATAGAAGAGAGTGTAGCTAGGAATTTATATGGGAAAGAAAAGCGTTAGGGCAAAATTGAAAACCCACCACCTGAAAAAAAGACTTAGCATACAAGCCCGAAGATTGTAAATCGAATGCAGCGTACCTACAACCGAAGTCTGAAAGAGACAGCCAGTTTTGCTTGTGTTGCTCGTGAGCCCGAATTTTGCCGCTGTCTAAGCCAGACCACTAGTCATGTGCTGCAAATCATCAGCGCTGTGTGCAAACAACGCACACTCGTCAGCAAACAGCAACACACGGATAATTGTCTCACAGACCAGAATTCGCACACCGAAACGACGGATGTTCAGCAACCCACCATCAATACGGTGCTCCACACGAACACCATAAGCACAAGCCGCATCAAAAGCACAAGACAATATTGCATGAAGATATATATTAAACAGAGCAGGAGCTAAGACACAGCCTTGCTTCACACCAGAGAATACTGCAAAGTCATCCGAGGTCTCTCCACTCAGCTGCACCCTCGCCCGCATGCCACTGTGTAGACATTCAATTAAACTTACAAACTTACGTGGACAACCAAACTTACCCAACACCAGCCACAATGCTTCGCGGTTCACCGTATCAAATGCCTTGGTGAAATCAACGAAAAGCGAGTACAATGGCTGGTGTCGTTCTCTACACTTCTCCTGCAACTGACGAGCCGCAAACACCATATCTATAGTGCTGCGACCCGAACGGAATCCACGCTGCTCCTCCGCCACGTTAGGTTCCACAATCTGACTGATGAGGCGGTTGAGCAGGATTCGGGCAATCACCTTGCTCACACAACTCAGCAAGTTGATGCCACGATAATTCATGCAACATTGCTTGCTCCCTTTGCCCTTGTACAATGGTAGCACAAGGGCATCCTTCAGCTCAGGAGGCACTTTCTGCGCAATCCATACGCGTTGCACCAAGTGGTGCAGCGCAGTCACCAACGCGGGTCCGCCGTGTTTCAATACTTCAGACGGGATCCCGTCGGGCCCAGCACACTTGCCGTTTCGGAGCTGAGCAAGTGCTCCCTGCGTCTCATCCAGTGTCGGTATGTCCGCCAGACTCCTTTTCACATCGTGCTGCTTCAGGCCTTTCAAGGTAGGCCAGCCGATATCTGAACGGTTGTTCAAGAGACAGTCGAAGTTCCTCCGCCAGATCCGCATCATGTCTGCAGTCTGTGTGCAGGTAGCGCCTGAACTACCATCGCTCCGCGTCCTCAGCGGCTCCAACCTCGGTCCATACACCGTCTTCAAGGAGTCAAAGAATTCCTTGTGTTGGCGGCGTTCGGCGTAGCATTCCATCTGCTTCGCCTTCTCCGTCCACCATGCATGTTTGATGCGACGGAGCTCTCGGGTCATTCGCCGTCGTAGTTTGCGAAACTAACTACTCTTCCCCAAGTCACTGGGGTCTGCCACATGTGCAGCAAATGCTGCATTCTTCTGGCACGCAAATGCGCTAATCGTCTCATTGTTCTCATCAAACCAATCAGACAGCTTACAGTTTGCGCGCCCGATGGTCTCCTCGGCAGCAGCTGGCCGCGAATGTGGTGCCACAGGTCACCCACTGTGGCTATGCAGTTCACATTACACAGATGTGCAGCCATCGCCGTATCCAGCTCAGTACGTTTCGCCACAGTACCGAAGGGGGAGAATGTCAAATTTAAGCCGATTCACGGCGGGAGTGCAATACTTTGATTTGTGAAACTATATTGTTGTTCGTCGCAATCATCCAACAATTCAGATATGTTGACCAGCTATCGGGAAAAGCACCAGACGGCCGTTTCGCCCTATTGTGGCTCATCAGTGTTGCGCATCCTTCGGTCCTCTGCAGAGGATCGAACCCATAACTGCTATTGGCTCTTGTTAATTAGCCCGCAGCTTATGCAACTGCGCAATGGAAGACGGTATCTGACTATCATGAATCGAGATAAGGAGTTGGAATCCAGTGAAACGTAAAACAAAAGGGATAACCAAGGAGCAACCAATCGACGGTGTGTACATCGAATGCAAAATGGAAATTATAAACGTGAAAGTATAGCTATACACATAAGGGTTCACAATGCGACAACATACGATGCTGCTTCTGGGGTTTTCAAATGGCTTTGTTCTTTTTGGTATTTACAAAAAATTTAGTCTTATTTTGTGGATCTCGGAAGCTTTCACAGGAGCATGGAAACGGAGCATGAAAAGCAACAAACAGTAATAAATTCTGATTGATAGTATATGGGGTAGGTTGAAATGCCTCGTGCCGGGATGTGCTAGATTGGGCAAAACGTGACACTACGAGTTGCCGATGCAAGCTTTCTACCATCCCGTTGGCTGCGGAGTGGTATACGGTGGTTCGGTTTTGCTCAGAGCCAAGTATGTTGAGAAGTTTACCGAAGGGTCCATCAAAGTTTGATTCAAGGTTCGTGATGACTACGCTAGCGAAACCAAGTTGAGCTATCTAGCATACTAGGAAAGCGAGTGCATCTATCACAGCTGAGCAGTTGGACGAGTAGCACAAACTCGTGCATAATAGCCTAGAGTAATACACGTCAAGTTATCTGTAGTTGATGTAGTTTTACACATATGCGAAAGAAGAGAGAAAGCTAGGATTAATACATTGATGTGGCTGCATATGAATCTTCAGAGATTCATAACTATAACTATTAACCAAGTAATCTAAGTTAGTAAACACACAGGAGCGAGTTAATGAAGAGTGAAGTGATTGGATATTCCTAGATCTAGATATCGAATTGGACTGATCAAACTACATGTTTTTTGTGTCACGGTTATTGTGCGACTAAGTGGGCCCAGTTGCTTTCTTTTATCTATTCACTTACAGACGAAGAGTAATGGCTTACTCAGCCTTGAAAGTGAAAATTTGATGTTGGGGGGATAAAATGACACATACATAAATAGAAAGTTGTTCCGTGATCAGTATGATCACCAAATTACAGGCACATACAAAATATAAAGCACATAGTGATTGGGAAAGCATACAGGTAGTTAACCGAATTTCGACATAGATGGAAGAAGGAAAGACACTGCAATAAAATCGGTAACGTAGTCTAAGTTGTAAATTAATGGTTGATGTCGAGCAGACAAGAAGTATGTATACATGTTATGTTCTGTTAGAAAAACAGAGCGGGAAAAATTGGCAAGTACTCAAAAACTCAACAATGAAGTGATTAGTACACTTCCTTTAAAATTCAGACAGAGCAATTCTGACTAAAACGGTCTGACTGTAGTCGAGAGGTCACAGCAAAGAACAAGCGAAAATGTGAGGAGTTTGATCCATTTACCATACCAACCGCACACGAAATCCCTAGAATTTTACAGTAGGAGGTTATGGTTGCTTCCCGGTCTTCTTATCTTGATTTATCGGATTCGGAAAACCCTAGGTACGCTTACCATCATAACCTGCAAACTAAGTGCAACACAAGAGTGAGAGAATACCAGTAGCAACTGGATACACACTACTGTAAGCTGAATTGTCGCTGGCATCTGTTCCCTCCCAAATTTGTCAGCCGGCCTGTGACCGAAATGATAATATACCTGCCCTATAACCCGGAGCTCGCGGTTTCGAGCCCGCATAGGGAACCGGGTGACCCTTGGTCCACTCGCGGCTGGTGGTGCTTGCGTTGCGTCAAAACGTCGGTACGAGGCACCGGCGTACTGCCGATACCTTTTATTGACCTTGAAACGCCATTCTGACTTATATAATTAATGTGCCCACAATATGCTTATTTAAGCGACTCGGCGACCTATTCACAATTTGCATCTCGTCGCCGGTCTACCGTTCATCGAGCGGCGGCAAAACGTATGCAGATATTGCGCCCACTAAAGCCCATCAAATCAGGGAATACCATGTTGAATCACGGATGCGCGGTTTAGCTCTCTGGCGAATTTTTCTTTGAGATGGTGTATTTCACACAGAGCATTTTACGGGATTTCCCAAGATTACTTTGTTAAATCCTATCATACATTTGTTCTGTCGAACTTGAAAACAACCACTATAGTGCGCAGAAGCCGCGTGCAAATACCAGACCGTTATATTCGGAAAGAACTGCTTAAAAATCTTCGAGTTTACATTATACTAATGCTGCCAGTCTAACTAACATGCATCTGGCAAGCGTAATTTTCTACTCCTACTCGTTTGATCAGACACCTTCAGTGGCAGATTCCTGATGTTCTCCGAAAAATAGTATTCCCTGTGAGTGGACTTGTTTAATGTAACCCAATTTAAAACATGGCCACGTTCGGTTCTTTGAAATTCCTCTGTGGCACGTTTCTCGAAACGACAATGCTAACATGAAGGTCGAAAGTAAATTGCTCGTGACAACAATGCTACAAATGCTGGCTTATCATAAAGGTGTCTAGCAGTTCACATCCTAATGCCACACTTAGTGTGCGCGTCTGTGTGCCAGTTGCTACAGTCCTTGGCTTTCAAGTAGGTATAATCAAAAGTGTTTCCTTCTCAAAGTAGCGACTGTCATGAATGACATCATTTAACTCCTGTGTGACGAAGAGTGTACCCACATGGAATGAGTTAGACGACGACGGTGTGCCAACGCATGCCAACCTAGCTGACTAGAGTTATAATGCAGCAGCACTGAAGTTGGAGCAGCTCAACGTGTGCTCTGAGCGCACATAGCCAAGAAACTTGAAAGGCATGTCTGTTTCATAGCACCTTGAATGGGCTCTCTGAGTTGTCATATATGGCCACCATGATGATGTATAAAGTGTGCCTCTCGCCTGTGAATGATCGTATTTGATCGGGCGACTTACCACTTTGCGCCAATGACAGACGATGATATAAGTGCTCTAGTCATTGGTAATGGTTCTGGAATGTGCACAGCAGTGTTTGCAGGTGACGACGCACCTAGCGCTGTGTTCCCATTCAGCGTCGGTAGACCCAGACACGTCGGAGTAATGATTGGAATGGGACAGAAAGATAGCTATGTGGGTGATGAGGCGCAGTCGAAAAGAGGCATACTCACTCTGAAGTATCCCATCGAGCATGGAATCGTGTGGAACTGGGCTGACATGCAAAAGATTTGGCATCACACGTTCTACAACGAACTGCGAGTCGCGCCGGAGGAGCACCCAGTTCTGCTGACTGAAGTTCCAATGAACCCGAAGGCGAACAGAGAGAAGATGACCCAAATCATGTTCGAGACATTCAACACTCCTGCAATGTATGCGGCTATCCAAGCCGTGTTATCACTCTATGCGTGTGGAAGAATGACTGGTATTATGCTGGATTCGGGTGATGGCGTAAGCCACACAGTCCCGATTTATGAAGGTCACGCCCTTCCACACGCGATTCTGCGCATGGATTTGGCTGGACCTAACGGACTATCTGATGAAGATAATGACAGAGCGCGGTCATTCATTCACAACCGCTGCGGAACGAGAAATTGTCCGGGATACCAAGGAGAAGTTGTGTTACGTTGCCCTGGACTTTGAACACTAGATGACGACAGCTACAGAGAGCTCCTCATTGGAAAAGAGCTACGAACTTCCAGATGGCCAGGTAATCACCATCGGAAATGAACCATTTCTTTGCCCAGAGGCCATGTTGCAGCCGAGTTTCTTGGACATGGAATGTGCTGGCTTGCACGAAACGGTCTACCTGTCCATCATGAAATGTGATGTGGATATTCGTAAGTATTTGTACTCAAATATTGTTTTATCTGGAGGATCAACAATGTTTCCTGGTAGTGCCGATCAGATGCAGATAGAAATAACCATACTGACTCCCAGCACGATGAGAACCAAAATAATTGCCCCACCAGAACACAAGTACTCCGTCTGAATCGGTGGTTCCATCTTGGCCTCCTTGTCCACATTTCATCAAATGTGGATCACGAAGCAGGAACATGACGAATCCTGTCCCGGTATTGTAAATCGTAAATGTTTTAGTACCGTGTGTTTATCACTGAAGATGCGCCAATGCTGTGTAATGTCATCCGGATCAGAAATACATATTTGTAGTTTGTGCGTTGTGCTCCGGATTAAAACAAATTTCAAAGAAGTACGTACAGTGAAAATAAGTCCCTGGGTTCCAGTGAAATAAGTTACATGTATTGATGACAACTTTTGCTGTTGGACAGCATTAGACTGTTGGTAAATATGCCCAATCTCATTATCGAAAATAGTGAAGTAGTCGAGTAACAGTGGATTTGCGCGGTGCTGCACGATTCGAGGCATTCCAAGAAGGTTGCTTATTTGAATTCAGAAACTGGTGTGCATGGAACACGGTTACATGTGTCATCCAATCGAGTGTCTGTGACAGGGAGCGTATTCATGGCTTTATATCAGAACTGGTATGCGATAGACCCACCGTAGTGGGGTTGCGAATGCATGTCGCGCGTTTTTCCCCTTAAACGTGTTGTATCATTTGACGCTAACTCCGTTTACTTTTTTTAGGACTGTAGCAAGTACAAAGCGATAAGAAGGCACCAGCTTTAGTTCACGTGGCAACGGCATATCCAGATTTTAAACATACGTCCATTGTTGGTGACGTGTCTGTCCCCCAACGCACAACATATGGGCACCCATTTGTCGTCCTCCCTATGCACCTGGTTGCCCAATTAGGTGAATACTTCCTGTCTGTTTGACCTTACATCCGCCCTTCCTCCAGTAGTATGGTGGTCAGCATCTATCCATTGCACAGCTACTCGGACTTACATTGGTGAACTATGGGTTAGTTAGGGCGATACCAATAAGGATATATATGTGATTTGGAAGCAAATATTGGTAGTCCAAGTTGTTCACTTGATGGTCCGAATGTTCACTGATCTCGACAGTTTTGCAGCAAATGTTCCCTTACCACTCGAAGTGACATCATCAGTGCGCCATTGGGTAGCGGAGCGGAGTAGCATGATACGAAATGTCAGTGAATGGTCATGATCGATCATCTTAGGCGCACGATCAGTCAGTATAAGTCCGGATTTTCGAAGGGAATATTATTCGTACCTGTAGTGGTAGCATACGCATTTTTCTGTGCCGTTAAATTTGGCAGATTAAGTTGTAGCTCATTTGTCCGTAGTGCTGTGTATATATTACCTAGTTTTACCCATCGGTTGATTGAATGGCTTGCAGAAAACCATGTTTTTGATAATTCCCTAGTTTACCTCAAATTTCAAATGTTAGGATCTTTACGTTCTCCAGATTGAAGTGGTTGCTTTCTTGGTCCACAATCCTAAAAACCAAGGAGTGCAGGTCATGTAGCTGATTGGCCATTTTTGTTTTATTAATCTGGACCGAGGTTTTCCTTACCGCTTGTTAGATTCATGGCAGCTTAAGTTGTAGATGACGTCATTCGGACTGCCTCGTATGAGTTTGTCTTTCTGTCTTGAGAACAATGCTCTCAAAGAATACCATTGTTTGTGTGCTACCAACATTCTCTGTGGTCAAATTAATTACATTGTTAATCCAGACACGTTCTAAATGCATGGAAGCGCCACTGATTAAGTTACCTGTTATCCCTGTTGTGAGGCACGCTATTTTTCAGTCTTCTCTCGATGAAATTTCGTTATCGATGTATCTCTTCCTTCTTCCTCATTTCTCCATCAATGTGGTGTGTATTCGTAGATGCAGATGTTCTTGTGCTTTAGTGGATGGTTGCTCTGGCAGCTGAATATTTGGTCTGTGGGTGTCCTCTTCCGATATTTAATTATTTAAAGCAGTTAATTCCCTTCAAAAATTTGAAAAGCACGGAAAGAAGACGAAAGTTAATAGATGCATGCATTTCGTATTGCCTCCTCAGTACCATTAACAATAACCGATATGCACAGATATAGCTAACAGTGGGTGCAACAAGACAAGCTTAAGGTGCAAAACGAATGACCTACGTTTAAGGCAGCTTTAGGCGGACAAATAATTGTTTCTGAACACACAAGGCTGGCTTGACCCTGTTTATGGCGACAGCTGTAGCAAACCGAAGGAAGCGGGGATTAGTGTGACGTAACACAACTTTCAACACTGAGCCCAGCTCTATCCGGTGACCTGAGTCGAATAGGTGTTTGCCTATCCAGAAAGCCGGCTTTCTGCGTGAACATGGAATCTGACGAGAGTACGCAATCTGAGCAACTTCACGTTGAACCCATATTTGTACACGCTCCTTTATTCGGGAAGTCAGCGTTCTATTAGTTCTGCCTATGTAACTGTTTCCGCAGTCACATACAGATTGGCATACACAGTATGAGTTGGCCCCAATAGGCTGAGCTATCTTCGTTGGAGATATGGTCAAAATTCGGGTTCGGCTGATGACGACAATTTGCGCAGCATAGTAACTTCTTTGTGTAGCTGAAATTATACGCTTAGTTGTCTTAATCGTGGCTAAATCACCTTTGAAAGGTAACTCGATATACACTTTCTTCTTGGCTGCCGTGTGCACCAAGTCCTTTGGCCCTCGCGGTTGGCTGTGTTCCACGCTAAATCACCGACGGTAGCCGTTCGCCATTAGTGGTGCTGTAATTAACACTGGCTCATCGTTCAGACAGTCGGCCGAACAAATCCGTCCAGCACGACTAACTAGATTGTTCATAGATTAGATAGATTTTATATATATACATATACATATCTATATATATCTATATCTATATTGTATAGATGCATTGTTCATAGATTGTCCAATTGTACCGCACTGGTGTGAAGCTGGTGAAGTGCAGGTACTGACCGGACCAAGTTGATTTTCGGTAAATGGAACTTAATCAGTGCATCATCCCTGCGACTTATGAGTATGTTCAGATATGGTAGACAATTGTTTTGTTCTACTTCGCATGTAACCCGTAACTTGGCATGAGCACCACTGAGCCGTTCGACCAAATGTGTGTGTGTGTGTGCTGCTCCGACGAACAGAAAGTCAAGATATCATCGACATATGGTTTGTAGTAGGGCACCTGGGCTATTTCCGTAGAAATGCTTCTTTCTACCCTCAACATAAAGAAATCAGCGGGCACAGGACCTAATGGGCTACCCATTGCTACGCGGTCAATTTGACGGTATGGTGTATTCCGGAAGCGAAAATCCACATTCTCCATGCACAATAGTAGAGATTCTCTTATCAATTCAGTCGGAATTGGTAGCGAACAGCCACCGTTTTCAGCTAATTCGCACACGTAATCAACCGTCTGATGTAGCCAGACGTTGATAAATAAGGAGTATACATCCAAGGAATATATGATTTGGTCTGACAGATTGAGTTTATCCAGGTCGTCGATCAGTGGAAACGAGTCTTTAAGACTGTACGGATTGAATTGTTGTTTCAACGGAGCTAGCCACTTCACTTACCAAAGAACGAGTTTATGCTGGGGCGCATACATCATTGAAAAAATTGGCCTGAGTGGCACTTCACTCGTATGTGTCTTTGGGGAGCCATACAACTGTGGAATAGTGCTACCACTCAGCTTCAAACTATTAAATGTATCACAGTCTATCACGCGGTGGAGAAGCAATTCCAGGTGAGGAACTATGCGCGTTTCGACATTGCTTTCGATTGCTGGTATACTTGTCCATCAAACTAGACATGAGTAGTCATGCAGCGATCCAGGAGTTTTAATACGCTCTCTAGTTTGGAGTATCCTATCGTGTTTGGTTGGTTCGAAGTCATTCCATCACTGTCTCTTTCGCAATTTCTTGATGGAACGATGTAAAGAGTGCAGTGACGTCAAACGAAAGTAAGATTTCATCGTCCTATCTCCTAACACCCCTTAGTTTGGGTGGAAATTCAGCTCATATAGAGTCAGTCACACAGACATCACACTCCCGGAAAAGCACTGTACAGCCAATTCATTGTTTGGGGATTCGTCGGTAGCGCGTATTTCATTTGACCGTTGAACAACGAACTATGATTAATCATGGGTTAGAAAGCAAGTGCTTGAGAAGTCCCATAGGATAGTTGGGGTTATGACTGCAAAATCAGAAGGTATGTGAATCATCTGTTTATGCGCCTACTGAGTTAAATGCGTAGATAAGTAACGGTGGTTTAACGTAAAACTTGTATGCAAACCAAAAGAACATGGGGCGCGCTGATAGTTGACGTAAGGCGTCAGAAAAATAAAAATATGGTTGCTTACTCGTATATCGACTCCGGGTGCCGATCAGACAGATAAATCCCACAGAAGGGCATGATTAAAGTATTCCACTGTAGCACGGCCTAGATAACGTAGTGATGGGAGTTAAGAGCACCATCCAATCGTTCTGCTGAAAGCATACAAATTAGGGTCGGGGGAAAATGAACTCAGTGGCAACATGGGTCATTGTGAAACGAGGCCAGGATAAACATAGAATCTCGACGAACCGTTTTTGAGCACGTAGGTCTTCGTCCCAATAAACCAGAAAAGTAAGTTGATTAGATCTCTAACCGAATGGGCTAGATGGATTTATCGTGAGGATACTCATGCGGATGAGCTGAGTTTCTTAATTGATCTTTCGAAGGAAATGGCTATCAGAAAAGGTTG